TATAGGAGTAGTAAGAATATCAAGCATCAAAAGCCTCCAATATGGTCAAGAAAGTGGCTTGTTTAATTAATCTTATGCTCTTGACAACCTGTCATAGGTTGGTTGATTTTGGCCACTTGCGTTGAATTACTGGAGATAGCAAAGATTGATTAAATTCTTTCTGTCAGATGGCAATTTTAAATATGTTCTTCATAGTGACAAGAACATCCCAGCTTTTAAAATGTTAAATAAAAGTGCCTGAATAAAAATTCAGAGTGATAATAAATGAGTCTTCTGGCTTAAAACTGCCAAGACTGAATCTGTTGGCATGTCTTTTCTCTTACCACAGTTAGGAAAACAGAAAGTAAGATTCCTTGTCTAAGTTAAAACCAATGAAAGGGTTAAAGAAGAGCATCAGGATATCTTTTCAGTAAATTATTTCTAATAAATAATTTTGTAGGTGCTACAAGATCCATTTGCACATTTCCTTCTAAATTATACTTAAGAAACCATGGATGAATCAGCAGTCTAAAACATTTTGGAATTACTCTTTCATATCTGTCATTGATCTTGTCTAAAAATCAATTTCAAACACAGGATTTCTTTTCATTATTTTCGTTTTTGTACTGAATATATGGATACCAGAGGAGGAGAGATGCAGCAAAGTGATAACAGTGGTTATTACTCTGTCATTTCAAACCCTGTTGTCGCTTTTTCAATTCAGTGATATTTTGTAGTACTTTCTCTTATAGTACATCAGTTTAAAATGTTTAAGAAAGTTGACCCAAGGAAGGGCAGGCAAGGGAAAAACACTATAAACATTTTAATAACTTTTAAGAGAAATTGTTAACTTTGTCTAATGTTATATACTTAAATAGCTTCCTGAATGTGCTTTGAATACAGGGACATGTAAAATGAAGCCAAATGGTTTCTTTAAATGTGTTTTACTTGGTTATAGGATTGTTTTATAGAAAATGAGAACAAGATTTCCTGATCATTGCTCGTAATGTTCAAGACCAAAAGCTAAGACATTCAATCAACACTGAAAATTTTATCCATTCCATATTAATACATGATCACAAAGTAAAGAAAAGCTGGACCTCTTAAGAAGGGATATGTTTTGTCTGAAAGAAGATTATTGCTACAGAACACTTAACAAAAAGCTGAATTGTAAAGAAGAGATCAGACAGGGGAAGGAGTCTTCATATCTGTGTGAGAAAAAACAGTTGTTAAGATAACTAGAGATGGAATTCACATTATTTTTCTTCAGTCACATGGAAATGTTCAATGAAAGAAGAGTTCATGCAGTATAATCTGACTGCATGTTTATTTAAAAGTAAATCCTACTGTATTCACCATGGCTTACTGCCCAGTACATGTATTTCAGATTACAGGCTAAGTGAGATTGGACTAGAAACTGGTTGACACAAAGTCCAAGTGAAGAACATATGAATGGCTATGCCTGAATCTAACTGTGTTTTGTAAACATAACATTTTAAAAGTATTGTAATAATTTAAATGCCAGACTCCTTTTTTGAGAGAAGTTGAATGCAAAACAAGGAACTTCTATCTACACAAACAAAATCATGATCATAGTGAAACATTACAGCAAAGTGTAAAAGGACTAGCACCTTTAAAACATCTGATAAAATTCCTCCAGGAGGAAGCAGTTCCTGAAAAAGAACTTCCTTCACACTAGGCTGGATTCATTTCCCATGAAAATGTGCAGCTAAAATCTGAGAACACAGATGGTAAAACAATAGGTTACTATAATAAATAACTGTTTTCTCAAGATTTTTTTTCCAGATTACATCTTACTGTCACCTGGCCTTCACCAATAAAGGGAACAATGATCTATATCCTACTTTATTTTTTTCCAGAAGGAATTTTAAACAAATTGCAAAATTTTCAATCTTAGTCAATAGCTCTAAGTGTTTCAGCATTCATACCAATTTTAAAATATGATAGGCACATTCAAATTACAACCAGCCCATCCATGATAACATTGAATAAACCTAATTCTATATGAAATCATACTTTTTTCTTTGAGCTGCTTTAAAATTTTATCCTGGTAGAAATTAATGCCATCTGAAATATGCTCAGCTTTTTAGCCTGCCTCTTTAAAAAACCGGAAACAAATCAGAATGTTTGTTTGTATTGTTATGCTTTGCATCATGGTAACTTCAGAGGTATTATGATGCTGGAAACCCAGCACTTGAGGAATATTTTAACCAATGATATATATTGTAGAGCTAAAGATATTAATCTGTAGAAAAACTATGGGATGAGGGAGAAAATTAATGTACTGATCCAATATTTTATAGACCAAACTCAGAAAATCCAACCAAGAAAATCTGGATTGTTCATTATTTGCAAAGAACACTCCAAATTATATGAAAGAGGAATAAAGAGTATTGGGTGCTCAGACAATGAAGTACTACCATATCATTAGAAAGTGTCAGAAAAATCAACATCATGATTATCAACTGTCTTTTAAATTCACAGCAGTGAGGTCATAGTTAAGAGAACACTCATTTTGGAATTACCACTGCAATGACATTGTTATGCAAAAATAATTTTGAAACATTTTCAAACATAACAGAAGAAAATTGCAGGACAACAAATAACCAACAGTAAATATTAGTTAAAGGCCCCTGGGTGACTAACTTAGTGGCTTCTAGGAGAATTACAAGCTACTCTGATGCTGACAGAAAAAAGTATATTGATTTTTAAACGACCAGTTATAAATAAATGCTATGATAACCTGACACAATAAAGCCAAAATATTTGTATCAGCTTGTAAGGCAAAATTATGAGGTAAAGCAATGGAGGGTACTACAAATAAATCTAAAGCAAGCGAAAGACTAACTGTGGGACTCAATGTTGAAAGGAAAGGAAAAGCTATTACTAATCCCTGCTTACTTTCTTTCCATCTTCCAGCTCCATTTTTCATACTAAGGTCAAACTAAGTCATTGACAAAATACAAGACGAAGAAGAAATAATATTACATAAAAATAATTTCTTTGGCAGAACACTGGGATAATCCATCCAAAGTATATTGTTCTTCATAACACTGTATTCTTCATAATACAACTTCAGTACTTTCCCAAAAACAAGCATCCCCAGTCAATTCAAAATGATAAGTTGGGCACAAAGATCTTTTTTCTTCCTCAGAATATGGAAACAATGCTCAGAAGTAGGTTCCATTGTGTTCAAGGGGATTTACTCTTTTTTAGTATGTTTGATTGCAGCTTTTAGATTGTTATAACATACCATAAATACAAATGGTGCTGGTCTACAGACTAGCAATGCCAATCAAAGAGCCCAACCTTGACAACAGAACCACCAGCAATAGGTTGAAGACACCAGGTACATTCATTCAACTCATATCTCATTCTGCTTCTAATTGTGTTTTGAAAATAGCCAAAACAGCCTAAATGCAACAGATTTCCTGAACACAAATATTTTTTTTTTTTTGTGGGTTTTTCAGGCTGTGTGACCATGTTCTAGAAGATTTCTCCAAATGCAGGAAACTTGACTGCATAATTTGATGCTGGCGAAACGTCAGAAACTCTTCTAAAACAAGGCCACATAACCCGAAAAACCCACAAAAAACTATGGATGCCGGCCACGAGAGTCTACGATTTCACACAAAGAATTTTGCTAGTTTACATATTACTGACAGCTCTGTTTAGCTCTGAACACTGTGTTTACATTATTGCTGTTTAGTACAGTGTAGAAATTTCTCCTACACTTAAAGCAGCAATGTTAAAAGAATTACCAGTTATAACAAAAAAAAAAATGAACTGAGTTGAAATTATTGTGTAATGGTTTCCAATGTCCAAAAGAAGATACCCACAAAGGAAATACAGAATTACTTTTTTTTTTGCTTTAGTACAGAGCTGGTTGCATGAGTGATGGTGAGAAATCTATCATGTCATTAAATGTTATAACAGCTCTAGTTTCCCATTTCTTCCAACAAAGTGTCTGTGGAAAGACACAGGCAAGGAAAAACATTCACAGAATTACATTCAATAGCTGTTTAACAGTCAAGCTGTTTTAGAGATGTCCGCACATTCTGATTAACCATTTTAATCAGATTTAATTCTCAAAACTGATTAGTCTAAATAGAAGGCATTTAAAAAGAAGCAGTACAGGGGTGTACTGTTATGAAGTTTACAAAAACATATAAAATGCTGGATGGCACAAATTATACAGTGCTAATATAAACATTGTTTAAGCTAAGTGCTTAACATAAACTGTCCATCCACACATGTAATGAAGAGTATTTTAAAGGGAGAAGAAATGTTGCCTATAAAAATAATGTTACTGGTGCCAAGTGCTTTATTCAGTGTATTTAATGTGACAGATGAGAAGTGTTCGGAATCCTACTTTGTCTCCACAAACAGTTCATTTTCTATTGATTCCACATTATATTCCATCTGAAGGGCAAAGTCTGCCATCAAGAGTTTAAAGGGGAAAAAGATGAAAGCAGGAGCAGCAGCATAACAGGTACCAGACGGAACAGTGTGCTTGCAGGTACTTTGGATATGTGCTACCTGTTGCCATGATTTGTGCTATCATCTTATTATGGTACCACATTTTTCAGCTGAGGTCACTTCACAGAGCAGTTGAGGTAATTTTTTTGACGCCTCTTCTTTGAGCAAGTGTAGAACGGCCTACTGGTTCTAAAACTGGTGACTGGTTGCGGTTCAATGCTGAATATGTAGCAGCCATGGCACCCTAAAAATAAAAGCATTACAACTGTGATCTGACTGTTATAAAAATCATGACTGATTCAGGATTACTTTTATTTTAAACAAGCTATAGTTTTTAATAATGTGGAATTTGACTGCAGTTGACATGTTGATCTGTGCTGTCAAGTTGTTTCTGACTTATGGTGATTCTAAGGCAAATCTATCATTGGCTTTTCTTTGCAAGTTTCTTCAGAGGGGTTTTGCCACTGCCATCTTTTGAGGCTGAGAGAGTGTGATACCCAAGGTCATCCAGTTGGTTTTTATGGTTGAGCTGGGATTTGAACCCTGGTCTCCAGTCATAGTCTAGCGTTCAAACCACTACACCACACTGGCAGTTGACATACAATCACATAAATGCTAACAGCATGTCTATATTGCAGTGCTTCTCTTGTTTTTATTTAGGGTAATTGATTCTCCTAGCCCTCAGAAGTCAGGTACTCTTTTGGACAACTGCCTAAAACTGGGCAGGATCCAGCAGTGGATATCCTCTGAACCAACAGCAGAATTCAGCTGAACAGGGAAGCAGGACTCCCCACCCACATCTCTGGAGCTTAGGGGGAAGCACGGTAAATTTCAGAAGGGAAGGATGAGGGGAAGAATTGAAATTCTGAAAGTTCTGCCAATGGAAAGCTGGATTTACTCAATGGTTAGATGAGAAGCGTGGCACAGTGGTTTGAGCACTGGACTCTCTGGAGACCAGGATTCAAATCCCTGCTTGGCCATGGAAATCCACTGGGTGGCCTTGGGCAAGCCACACACACTCAGCCTCAGAAAACCCCATGATAGGCTCACTTTAGGTTCGCCAGAAGTTGGAAACGACTTCAAGGCACACAACAACAACAATGGATGACAAGGTGTATCCAACAGGGTTGCCTGCTTCTCTGCTCTTCCTGTATGGGCATTACCCAATCCATACTGTTTCAGAGCTAGCTCTGATCTGACCTAATCTGCACCACAACTAACACTAACATCCTGTTTTCAGCCCTATTTAAAAATAAGTTTCAAAACTCTGGTTTGGGCTTACTAAAGATAACATAAGCTCAGGCATAACACTAAATGTTGTTCTGAAACAGAGGAAGAAGGGAATGCCTTTGCCAATGTATCTGTCTAAAGTGTTCTTTCTTAAGGCCCAGGTTCTGCTGTGCACTTTGTTTGCAGACTCCTCAACTAAAGTCAGTTTGGCCTCCCCATACTGCATGAAAAATACAAAATAAATGCACTCAAATTTTTATATGGCTCTAGTAAGTTTCCACATATCTCTAACTGAATTTCTGAAATATGCAGAAGAGACTTCCTTGACAGTGAGGTGTTTGTAGCCTCACTTATTACAATTTTTTTCTAGTGATAAATCTTTTATGGAATATGAAAAAATTAGCACTGTAAGAAGGAGTTTTCCTAAGAAAATCTAGCAGACATGAGAAGGCAAATGGTAGTGCAGGGTGGAGTAAACCAAGAAAAGTCCCTACAGTCAGAAAATCCAGGGTTTAGCTATTCTTTTATTTCATCATATTGTTGCCTTTTTGTAATTGGAAGTGGGATGATTTTATCCTGGATATATATTTTTTGGCAGAACCCTTCAGTTTTTTTTTTGTTGTTTTTTTTGAGTGCAGGTTGGAGTGTCATGGGCACAGGGAGCAGTAGACTAAACAATTATGGAGTGAAAGCATATCCAGCAACAAAATGCTCTGGAAAACACAGGGAGATGGTTGGAGTTTATGGTTCGTTTATTTACCTTCACAAGATGTGGAGCATCTTGTCTGTTTAGTTGGAACTGAGGCAACTGGTCACAATGAACAATCCATGGATGTCTCAAGACCTGGGCCGCAGTCAATCTCTGATGAGGGTCAACATGAAGCATTTTTGAAACCAAATCCTGTGGACAATGAATTAAATTGAAAAAACAAGGTTTATGGCTAACAATATGCAACAAGTGTGAAATCCTGAATCTCAAGGAAGTATATACTGTTCTTGTATACAGATTACAGAAAATATATGAAGATGAATATATGAATATTTCCAAATGTATCCTCTTATCAAGAAGGCAGAACAAAACTTTTCAGATAGTGATAAAAAACAGCAAGGTAATACTAATTTTAACAAATTACTTCTCCAGAAAAATTTGAGACTCGCAAGGTTTAACAACCTGTGTCCTATTATATTTTCAAGGCCTTACTTAAAGAAAAAGTGGAGAACGAGGGGATAGAATGCATGAAGCCTCAGCTTCTTTGTTATGGCATTCGAAGTCCCCGACTACCAAATTTTAGCATTGCTTTTATTAAAAAAAATTGTCCCCAAGTGCCAAATGAAGCAACAATATCACTCAAGAACTTCCAACCCACTCAAAAGACTAAAAATCAGTAAACTAGTAAAATGTGTGCCAGAATTCTGAATATACTGCCATGAAAATAATCTTACAGCCAAGTGAGCAGATGACTAAGGGCCTTTATAGACTGCCAGAAATAATGCAACTTGAGTCCACTTTAACTGCTCTGGCTTAGTGCTAGGGAATCATGGGAACTGTAGTTTATTGTGGCACCAGAGCTCTCTGGCAGAGAAGGCTCAATGTCTCAGAAAAAACTACAATTCCCATGATTCCCTCACACTGAGCCAGGGCAGTTAAAGTGGACTCAAGTTGCATTACTTCTGGCAGTCTGTAAAGGCTCTAAATGGATCAACTGCTGCCTTCAGCTGGCTTTGTCCTTTTTTGTGCTCTTAACTCTTTCTTCCTCTCCCAGTTTCTTGCATCTGTAGACAAGGCATCAAAACTTGCATATGTCTGTTACCTACACCTCTGCCATGACAAAAGCTCTCTCTTTCCCTATTAAGTACTGTTCACCTGTAGACTATTCCTATGGATGGAATAACTCACCACACTCCCTAATCCTGAAGAATGCGACTTTGCAGCTCTAGTTCTTGCAACTTGTATTTCTATGTATAAATATACACTTTCTCATAAGCCTTATGGGAATTATGAATTAGTCTCTGGCTCAAGTACACTAATAGTCCCTTTGCCATTTGGAGAGGGAGTGAAATGGACCTAATGAACTTTTGTCAGTAGGAATACCAAGGATTGCCATATACTATCGGATACAGAACATACTTATTTAGAAATTCATTTACTGGATCTAAAAATAAAGACAGGAAATCAACTCTGCACCTCTTTATCCAGAGATTTAGCACCTGTTTGTAGTTTGACTTTCTCAGAGTGATATTTCCTCTATAGAAAGTTCCTTAGATTAACATACAGCTTTGATACTCATTTTGGAAATATGAATCCTGTACACCAACAGAATTGATGGGCACAGGGTACCCACAAACAGTAGTGTGCCTGCAACAAAGTATCCCAAAAATATATTATGATCTTTTAAGAAAACAAGATAGACCACAGCCCAACCACCTCAACTGTACCCTCACTTTTAATCGTATTACCAATAATTCACAGAGTATTTATACAAAAACACTGGTACCTAGTCCAGAATGCACATGTGTCCAAGATAAGTCCCATATTTCATTCAAAAAGAATCAGCAATACAAAAGATATCCTGGTGAGTAGCACATTCAAGGAACACAAGCAAACAACATGTAATATTCTGATTGGTACAACCAGACCTATAGGACACCATTCCATTGGTCATTGTGCTTATTGCAGATACACCTAAAAAGCATCAGAATTCACAACTACAAAAACAAAAAAGGACATACTGCACTGTTTTATCTGGGTAAAACAACCAGGCCTCTTAAGAAATGCATAGGAGAACACCTCAACAATATCATTTATTTATTGAATTTTTATGCCGCCTTTCTCCTAAGATGGGATTAAAAGCAGTTTACAATGGTCTTAAACATATTAAGTTAAAACATTAGCGGTAGTTTACAAAAATTAAAAATAACATTTTTTTAAAAAAAGAAAACTTGTTTAAAACAGTTAAAAACATTTTAAATATTTAAAACATAATTTCCAATAAAAGATAAAAAAATAGAGCACACCACTTCACACACTTGCTATTGCTCCATAATTAAAATTTACCGGTAAAGGCCTGCCTGGATTAAAAATGTCTTCACCGGTCAGTGAAAAGAGAACAGGGAAAGGGCCAAGTACATCTCCCAGAGAAGGGAGTGGAGCAGCCACTGAGAAGGCTCTCTTCTGAGTCCTCACCAAACCTGCCTCTGAAGATAGTGGGACTGAGAGAAAGCCCTTCTATGAATATCTTAAAACCTGAGCTGACTTGTATAAGGAGATATGGTCTTTCAGATAGGCTGGACCCAAGCCATATAGAGTGTTAAATAAAGGTCAAAACCAGTGAATTCTGCCTGGAAATGGACTGGTAGCCAGTGAAGCTGTTGCAACAGGGGATCACATGCCTATCTGTTCTAAATCATATTTGGGCAATTTCCAGGGGACCTCCCCCAACTCTGCATGGCTATTTTTTGCCCTAAAATGGAACGATCACACACCTAGAGGTCTTTAGGAAATGCAATTGGATATTTCAAGTCATTCTCAGAATTCCCTAGATTTGTTTTAAATCCAGGGATTTTTGATTTTGTAAATGGAAGTAACTTCAGGGGGAGGTGTGACTGCCAAATTTTAGACTTTTCAATACTGGGGGAAGGAGATGGTACAAAAATAGCCTTGGGTATACTTTGCCCAACTCTGTTTGTAATATTAAAAAATTCTAATTGTGCCTTGTTTAATTTAATAATTTACTGAACATTCAGTATTTATTTATTTGTAATGATGTTGAAGTCTTAAGAGGATTTAACTGACTAAACATGGGTGGCCTCTTGTAGCCCTCTAGATGTTGTTGGACTATGATTCCCATCACCCCTAAAGTAAGATAGCACTACATGTGGAGAGCAAAAGGTAGGTCATCCCTAGACAAAACCACTGTTTAGACTGTATCTTATACAAAATTGGAAGAATTTAATATATACTTGCCTTAGCTGTATCAGAAACAGAATTCCAGTATCCACCACTAAGAGAGAATTTCCCACTACCTATTCGTGCCAAAATTTCTTCGGGAGTGTCATCAGGACCATTTGCAAAAGGAGTGTAGCTAATGTAAACACAAGTATTGTAGTATTATTTCAAATTCTTTGATGCAATTCAGCTACCACAGGTAGCACTGAAAACATAAACAACAGAATCACTATAGATCATACCCAGTCAGCATTGTATAGAGAAGAACGCCAAGGCTCCATATGTCACATGCAGCATCATAGCCCTGTCTTTTTAAAACCTGCGGAAAGCAAATTGTTCATTGTTTCTACAGTCAAAAAGAATTTATTTGGTTTTTGATATTACTCTATAATTCATTGAAAAATGGAAGCATCAG